CCCAGGCGGGTCTCGAACCCGTGGGCTCAGGCAATCCACTCACCTCAGCCTCCAAAGGCGTGGGATTACAGGCTGAGCCACCGAGCCCACCTGGCACTATTTTTAATAAAGAAACGTGAATGACTGCAATGAGCTGATCCAGTGGCCACACATGGGCTTTAGTAGAGTGCTTGTGTAAACGGGAAACATGTCAGAAATTGACCTTGACTTCAGACTCACCACACCTGCTCTCTTACCCGCTTTGGTTTGCTTTGCAAACTCTTTTTTCATTCACAGGGCAAACATCAACATCCTGGATAAATGCAGGAACAGGCTTTTCACCTTCTAAAGGAGAGTTTGGCAAACTGGCCAGGGGCCAGCTTTCTGATTTTCTAGATAAAGTTTTATTGGAACACAGCAACGCCCATTTGTTGATGGATTGTCTGTGAAGGCTTCTGTGCTCCCAAGTTGAGGAGTTGTGATGGATCCTTGTGGCCTCTGAAGCCTAAAATATTTGCTCTCTGGCCCTTCGTAGAAGTTTGCTGATCCTCTAAAGTACTGGACAGCTAAGACAGTTCAGTCATGTATCTTTTATGCTATTCTTTGTATTACTTGAAAGATTTTTTCCCCCTGACTTTAAAAGTCACAAGGGGCGGGATACGGTGACACTTTGGGAGGCAGAGGCAAGAGGACTGCCTGAGCCCAAGAATTCGACAACTCGGCGAGACCTTGTCTCTACAATAAATAGGAAAATTGGCCAGGTGTATGGTGGTGTACACCTGTAGTCCCAGCTACTCGGAAGGCTGAGGCAGAAGGATCACTTGAGTCCAGCAGGTCGAGGCTGCAGTAGCTGTGAGCCTCTGGACTCCAGCCTGGGCAACAGAGGGAGACTCCAACTCAAAAATAAAATTTTTTTTATTTTTTAGAGACAGGCCGCCTTGCTCTGTGGTCGAAGCTAGCTTGTGCAGTGGTTCACTGAAGCCTCGACCTCCTGGGGTCAGGCAATCCTCCCACCTCAGCCTCCTGAGTAGCTGAGACTACAGGGGCATACCACCACACCCAGCTAGTTAAAGTTTTTTGTTGTTGCTGAGACAGGATCTCACTATGTTGCCCAGGCTGCTCTTGAATGCCTAGCCTCAAGTGATCCTCTGGCCTCAGCCTCCTGAATAGCTGGGACTGTGGGAGCACACCATCACACCTGGCTATTTAAAAAAAAAAATTTTTTTTGAGTCAAAGTCTCACTCTGTCGCCCAGGCTGGAGGGCAGTGGCACTCTTTGACCTGCTGGGCTTCAGTGATCCTTCCACCTCAGCCTTCCAAGTAGCTGGAACTACTGGTGTACGCCACTACGCCCGGCTAATTTTTAAAAATTTATTGTAGAGACGAAGTCTCGCCAAGTTGCCCGGGCTAGTCTTGAACCCACGGGCTCAGGCAGTCCACCCGCCTTGGCCTCCCAAAGTGTTGGGCTGACAGGCTGAACCACCCAGCCCGGTCTTTAAATTTTCTTGTAGAGATGGCCTCTTGCTGTGTTTCCCAGACCACTCTTGACCTCCTGGCCTCAAGCAATCCTCCTGCCTCAGCCTCCCAGAGCGCTAGGATTTATCCCCAATTCTAGTCAATACCATGGTCATGAACGTCTCTGTGTCTAAAGCTTTTTGTTGTTTTTTGAATAGTTCTTTGTATTTTTGTTCCTTGGGATAAAGTTTCGAGAGGAAGATAACTGGGTGAAAGGATACAGGTATTTTTTTTTTTTTTGAGTTGGAATCTTACTCTGTCACCCAGACTGGAGTGCAATGGCCGCTCCTGGCCACCGCAGCCTCGACC